TTATATTAATCAACATTAATTTACTCTTCTTATAATACATCCAAATAATTAATTATATATTATTAAGATATACGAATTATAAACATATAGATTATTACTAATATTTTCATACTTAATGTCTATCTTAATTAAATTCGGTAATTAATTCAATAATCCTTTATCAATTTTAATCTAGTCCGATAATAAAAGCTATTAATTAACTAATCTCAGTTCGTCACAATTCCTTTAATATTATTAACACCTATAGTATTTACCCAATAATTATATAAAACAAAAATCCGAATATTATAACAATTATTTAAACTAACTAATCGTTATTAATGTATTCTGATTTTATTAATTACTCAAACACTTAATATTTACGAGTCCGTAATTTAATTTTATTAACCTACTTCAATTAATCCAATAATTAGTGAAAATAATATCCATCCAATTTTATTTAAACTAGTTATGGTACTACATCAAAATGACTTATTATTTTAATATAATATTAATTAACCAACAATTCATTTCATCATTTATCATTATGTGATTATGATAACTAACAATTAACAAACTTATCTAAGTGATTACTATCAATCAAACAAGCCAATATCATTATTACTAATTCCATTCCAGATTTTATTAATAATTTTGCAGATTATTATTATTATGATTATTATTATTATTATTATTATTACTACTTAGGAGGTTCGGCCCAAACTTAAACAACAGCCCAACAATGTTTTTTTTTTAAAGAAGAGACTCAAGAGAGTACTGTTCTTCTTCCTCGATGGAATGAGCTACGCAGGGCAGGGGGAAAGGGAGGTTACCTCGACGGATTCGTGATACGGTGGTGGTAAAAGACTCGTTTGGGGACGGCGAAGGTCAGTGATGGGTTGGCGGCAGCGGCAGCTCCTCCGTCTTCTCCGTTTTCCGTTTTTACGGTTAGCCCGGCGGAACTCCGGCAAGCCCGTTCTCCGTCGTTTCACGATCGTTTTCAATGATTCTTCTTCCGTTGGACTCCTCTCAAGCAGGGGAAGATCTCAGAGGTGTTTTAAGGGCTCGATTATGACTAAAACGACGGGTTGAAATTTGTGTACACACACACACACACACATATATATATATATATATATATATATACTTCGTATATACTATTATATATATATATATATATACGTATTCATGAATATATATATGTTGATCGAGCTTTGCTCTGGGTGAAGGGAAGTGAAGGTTGAGGCTAGTATTTATACAGTTCTCAAGGCATACTTAGGGTTTCTTTTGAGCTCATCCGATCGGTTCGAAAGTTGGAGGTTGTGCGATCCACTTTTTACGCGCAGCTGATATTTATCCTCAAGCTTCGTTAGTGTACGTGGGTACGTATAGGTTATGGAGTTATATATGAAGTTATATACATATGTTCGTATACTTATATATAGAGTTATATATGGAGTTATATACGTATATACTTATATACTTATATACTTATATACTTATATATGGAGTTATATACTTATATACTTCGTATGTTCGTATAGGTATGTTGAAAGGTCAAGGTAGGCATTATTATAGACATATTATTGTACAAATAATATTAATCATATCAATTGGCATCTTTTGAACTATCATTCCTAATAAAAAAAAATTTTTTCTACTCCAAATTATTTAAGAAATAGAAAAACACTACCTTGCTAAATTTATTATAAGAATGCTACTTTTAAAATTTTATCTGATTCTCTTAATAAAATGTCACTTTTATTTGATAAATAAAACCATATATTTTCTTATATTAAAATTTTCGGAGTGTCACAATAATATATGAATATATATTAGAATGAGATGCACGACGGATTATCAATGTCTTCTTTATATATAGAATTTTTATACATATATTCAAGTTTGAGTAATTTTTCCTTAATTTTTGAATTTTTTAGCGTATCATGAATTTGATTTAATATATTGATTTTTAATTATTATTTAGAGATAAACATTATGCAGATTCAATTGGTAACAAATTCTCACAAATAAAAATACATACTAGCTAATTAGGTTGCGGCGGGACGGGGCGGACCCGCCCCGCCCCGTATGGGGCGGGTCATGGGTCAACAAGTTTGGACCCGTGCAGGTCACGGGGCGGGTCTGGGTCTTGCAATACCCGCCCCGCCCCGACCCATTGCCATGCCTAATTTCTCTGGCCAACTTGGGCTAGGCCTGCTTGGGCTGTGGGGTTGGGAGACGACGTACGTCGTACCTGCCTTGGGCCCTGATATGTGATCACCATTGTCTTGTCGGAGACGTTCATCTGGACCTCCTTCTTTGTTGGGCTTGGACGTCTGTCCATGTAGGGGTTAGATGGGACGATCCTCCAATTGGGCCATTAACCCAACAAAAAAATAAATAAATAAATAAATAAATAAGTAAATAAATAAATAAATAAATAAGTAAGTAAATAAATGAATGAATGGATGGGGATGAATGAATGAATGAATGAATGAATGAATGAATGAATGAATGA